AACCATTGCATAAGTTTGAAAGATATTTGCATAAAAAGTTTATTTTATAATTTCGGGGTTGTTTTCATTTTTGTGAAAGTGCTAATGATTTTATTTTAGGTTTGTGTTTTTATTCGAGCTTTATCAATTTGATTTATCAATTTAAAAAAAAAAATATTACAAAAATTCAAAATTTCATAACGGCCTTTCAGCTTCTTTTTTGGTTAATTGTGGCCTTTCAGCTTGCGTTATCTTTTTTGTTTTTCCTTTTTCAAAATGATAAAAAAGGTTATCATTGTTAATTTCTTTTTTCTTATCGACTAATCGACCAAAACTTTATGTCGCCAACGCTTATTCATTATCCATCCAAAATAACTAAAAGCTTCTCAACTGTAAATATCAACGGAAATAACCTCCCCAACTACATAAGTTATATATTTTCTCAAAAAAAGAAAAAGTACATAAGGTTTATTATATTGCTGGTTTAATTAGAAGTGAATCAGAACTGAGGATACACAAATGCAAGCTCCCGGTTTGTTTAATTTTCCCATATTGTTTTTTTTTTCAATGTTTTGTTAACTACCAAGTCATATGTATCAGCAAATATTGATCTAAAATTTTGAAAACTTGGAATATGAGTGAAGATCTAACATTTCTTCATAACCAACCCAAAAAATAACATTTCTTTATAGTTTCACAGTTGCATGTGTTATGTGTACGTAGTTAGACAGAGTCACAGGGAGATATACTGCGTCTAGAGTCTCTCACGTATATATAATTTGATTTCTTTTTTTTATAAGAGTACACGTAAGTTGATATACTATTTGATTTTCCAATATTATATGTGGACGTATGGAATTGTATATTAGATATGAAAAACTTATCTTAGGCTTGTTTGTTTATTAAAAATAAGAAAAAAACTTATCTTAGACTTGTTTTCGTTTTAATTAACAAACATTTTTTCAGATTTACGAAATGTATATAATCTTTGTGGTTTTGATAGAGAGTCTATACGCTCCTCTCCAAATATACATTTGGCAAAGAAAGATTGGAGAGGTGCATACGAACTCAAGGTAAAATGACTATACGATGGGTTGGTTAAAGCATTACCTTAGAGTTTGAAGCTTCTATTATTCATTATTAATTTTTTTTTTAACGAAACATCACAATCTGTACCATATAGTATGTAACACCTCAAATTCTGAATAATAGTAGTGCATATATGTAAGAAAATTTATAAGAGTTTATTTTTCTACATATGTTATATGTTCGAAGAAAATCGAATAAATGAAGAAAACAAAGAAGGGAATAAGATGTGATTGGTCATGGCCTCATGGGCGATGAACAATAGCAAGGACAACTTTTGGGAGCACTGAGAATAATATTGTGGATAAGTTTTTAAAAACACTATTATGCTGTTCACAAATTAACTAAAAGTAAAATAAAAATACTCCAGTTCAGTTCCATGAAATAAAAAGTATTGCACTAATGCATGGTGTATAAAATAAAGTGCAATAAAATAAAATAAAATAAACTGAAAACTAATACTTCGATAGTCTATAAATAAGAATTGAAACCAACTCAAAACCTACAAGATACAACAAACCCAAGAG